ACCAGATTCTGTTCGGACAGTGAGACCAACTTCCCGGCGGCCTTCGCGTGCTGTCCCTCGAGAGCGCCGACCACTGAGAAGGCCCAACACGAGCCGCACCCGCCCTGGTCTTTGATCGGCGTTACGATGCCTTTCGTACGCCAGTCGACAGTTGATGGCAATGAGGCCGACAGTCGGGGCACGTGTTTGCGCGCAGACTTGTGGTGCGAGGTTTTCAGTCCATTCCCGTAACCCATTGACACTCTCTTTGCCTCAACTAAAGTCTGCAATAATTTTGATATTTTATTTTCAATTATATTTACATAAGTTGTGGTAAAAGCCAATGAAATGCACATTTTTCGTACCATATCTGTGAACTGATTGATGCCCTTATAGTAGGACTCCTTTCCGGCGATGAATCTCTGGTTGTGCTCCAGAATCTCATTTTGTTTCACTTTGTATTGTGTATAATGTGTTTCCTCGTCGGCATTGGATTTGTAAGTTTTCTTGAATTGTTTCTGCAAAATACATGTAACTATTAATTTAAAATGTTTTGTTCAAAATTAATGATAAAATTTCAATACCTTATACGTCTCCCATTCCGTGTCCACAATTGCGTTGCTTATAGCAAAAACTACACTTAATAAAATTAAAAACTTCATTATGTCTTAATATTTACGTTTTATTAACTGATTATAAAGTTTATGTTATTATTTTGCTGTCAATTATGATGTAATATATCACAAACGGTGTCTATATTTATAGCAAAATACCAAACAAAAGAAATGATAAATGAGTTGTATTTGTCTTTAGAGCAGATGTCGATTACACCATACATTTGGGGCGCAAATACATAATCAATTGTTTATCCATTTCACAAACTATGGAAATAACGGCTTATCAATCGGTTTGTATGTATCCTATGATTGATTAGATTTTGGTTAATATCTTTTAACTGTCACTTCAGATCAAGACTACTGTCAAAGACAATACTCCCTATTATGAAGTGATGCCTAATTTATGTCACAATTTCTTAACACTGTATTACTGTTACGACAAAATTTGTTTTTTGTTTATAAATATGGTTACAATTCTGGGAAAAGATAATTCATCGTAAAAAATAAAAGTAAAAGAAAGTTATGGACAGTAATTGAATGAGGAATTGGAGGGCATCTACAGTATAATGTCGTTAATGTTTACAATTTTATTAATCGGTTAACAGTTTTATTGACTTTTTACGAGTTGTATTTAAAAAAGAGATTAATATTTCAAGTATACTATTGTTTAATAATAGTAATACTTATTGATAACTAATTATCGGTTAATTAATACAACAAGAGATTATAAAAGGTAAAGATACTTTTAGTTTAGCAAAGTAGATTGTCGAATATACAGTGGTTGATTTTTTGAAATAATCCAGGTTACTTGATTATAAAATAGATTAATCGTGCCTTTTCAATTATTAACTTTATTATATGTTTGATTTGTAACTAATTTATATGACTGATAAGATTATAATTAGTGTGACTAAATTATGGTACATTTACCTTGTCGAGTTTGTTGTTTTATTCAACTATAATGTAATTAATGAGCTACTCACTTGTTAGAGAAATGCATAAACATTACAAGCCGATCAGTCAAATATTTTGGAAATTAGTTGTAATGTAAGTTATTCATGGTAATAATAATTATACAATTATATAAATTTTTATATATTTATTTTGTTTTGGTTTAAATTTAAATATTACGTTATTATTACATTTGAATGCAAATTAAATAGTTTTATAAATATTCTTAAAAATAATGATTAATTAAAGAGGCATTAATTTAAGTAAAATAGTAGAATTATGTGTTATTTATAGTAATGTCTTATAAACACATTAATACTATTAATTATTTTAAATAAATTACATAAAGTTAATTATATAAAGGACAATAAGTAAATTGTAAATTAAATGTTGTTAATGTTGTAATTTTTAAATAGGCAATACAAATTAACTACAAAATACTACAGTCTGTATAATATATAAAACTTAAATATATAAAATGAAAATATTAATTTATATAAACATAGAAAAAGTGAGAATGTTGTTTTATAAATTCATAAACACTGCAGTGATTTGTGTGTTGTTTTTAATGACCTATTGTTTATTGTTAAAATCAATTTATTTTGTTATATCAAATCGCATGTAATAAATGTGTGGAAAAACAAAACGATATAATAAATAACACGAAAGACAGAGATCTAGTGTCGGATCCATTCCTCCAGTTCCTCAATCGGGATGTCTTCACGTGAGTCTTCATTTCTGACAAATAAAACTCATTGCGATTTTTGCCAAAAGGTTTCGACACTACTTCCACATCGCCCTCACTCTCGGTGTGTGAGCACCGATCGGTCCGCCAATACTTATCCTTAAGTTTCTGCAACTTTCCCACACTTTCCAAGTGTTTGATAGCGT